GAATATTTTTAGGTATAATGGTGACATGGCTTAATGGGAGTGGTGGGAAGGGGAGAGGATAGAAAGTCAAGGAGAATGGACGGTGGGGGTAATGGAGCAAGGAGGTCTCTCTCTCTGCTCTTCATCTCTCTCCCGCTGTCTGTCCATTGCTGCCATTGCTATTGCAACATCAAACAGTGGCAGTGGTCTCTCTTTGCTCTCCCTCTCTCCTACTTTTTGTCAGTTGCCGCCATTGTCGCTGCAACTTCAAGCATCAATGGCAAAGGTCTCTCTCTCTGCTCTTTGTCTCTCTCCCCCTTTTGCTCTTTCTATCCGTTGCCGACATCGTTGTTGCAACTTCAAGTGGCAGTGGCAATGGCTTTTTTTTCTACTTGCTCCCCCAATCTATCTCTCTCTACTCTTTGTCTCTCTCCCCTTTCATTCTCTACAACAGCATCTTCATGGACAATCAGCCATGCCATCGACGAAGGACAAAGAGAGGTTCCCACCAATCAATCAGTTGTGCCAAAACCAAGACACAAGAAACCAAATCATTCTCCTCATCTTTCAAAACCCTGATCCTCCTCTCTTACTCCTCTTCAAGTCCGTTGTTTTCTTTCTTCTTCCTCTGTAAGAATGGAAACCAAGAAAAAGGCACCCCAACAAGTTGATCTCTTTCTCTCTATCCACAAAAGTTCAATCAGTTGTTGGTCAAAGCAAATAGCTAGCCGATCAACCTTCTCTCTCACTTGATCTGGCATTTTAAGGGTTGTAGGGATTTAAAGTCTGATGTAATCTCTGATCCATCATGTCTCTAGGATCTATAGTAAAACCCCACCGATATCTCTCCCGTAAAGGTGAAGAGGGTAATATTGGGTTTAAAAAAATTAACAATCACGTGATGTCACATCACATGTTATGGATTTTGATGGAACATTAATAGAAAAAACCACAGACATATGGAGCAAAGGGGTAATGGAGCAAGGAGAGGCATGTTGGTGTGTGTGTGTGTGTATACACTACCGAGCCCCTGTGCAATGCACAGGAAAAAGATGTTAAGGCTTATAGGGCTTAAAACTTATTGCTCTATGGGGGGCTATACAACCCAGGAGTAGGGGTGGAAATTTCCCCATCTCCGTTAGGTAACCGACGTCCCTAACCGGGCAAGGACAGCAAGTGAAGTCCACACCCCACCCCAAGGTCCCTAACCCTAATTATATATAT